GGCAGGACTGGCCTAGGGGTATTTTAAATTGGTTTTAATCAAATTTTTAGTAGAAGCAGCCAAATTTGAATATTTATTTTTAATCATTTTTAAATTTTGTATTGTATTGTATCATTGTTTTAAACTGGCTGTAAGCCGCCCTGAGTCCTCCGGGAGAAGGGCGGGGTATAAATTTAATAAAATCAAAATCAAATCAAAACTGTCTCGTTTAACAACAGAAATGTTGGGCTCGAGACTTCCGCTTCCGGATCGCAGCACGTTCAGCCGTAGAAAGAGATCTCTCTCTTTGTCAGGTGTTTTCCCTCTGCCGGTAGACCCTTATGTGGGTCTTAAATTGCCCTGGAGGGGCAACTACCATCAAGGAGGCTTTTGCTCGGCTGTGGTGGAGCAGCAGCTCCCCCTACAGTCCGAGCTAACTCCGTAGGGCCGACGGAGAAGATCGGCCAGTAAAATGGCCGATCACTTTGCTGCGCCAGCCAAAGTCAGAAAATCATCTAAGCATAAAGAACCACTGTGGTGAATCCAGGTGAGACCTTTCCTCCCTCTCTCTGTCCTGACTATTTGCCGGTAAAAAGTTTTTGATCACTTCCCTGTCTTAAGAGAGCAGCTTCTGTCTACTTGGGAAAGAAAGCTTTAAAAGAACTAAAATAGTTAAAGTTTTATTGACTACTTGATTTTTTTTCTCTTTTTTTGGATACCTAGGGGCCCTGAAAAAAATAAAAAAGAAACACTATATTTTTTTACTTTATCTATTATACTGGAGATACCTGCTTTTGCTTTTTATGTTTCCCGAAAGAGATAAATTTTTATCTATTTGGAAGAGTTTACAGTCCACTGAGGACATCTTGTGGCAAAAAGTGCCATTACAACTGTATTTTTTTGCTATTTGAAGATGAATTTGACCTTTGGAGGTGGATATTTGTTGACCTTTTTGAAATATAGCCTCCACTAAAAGATTAAAGACTATTCTTGATCAAAGTCTATTTCACCACTGAAATGGAAGAAGCTGATCCACAGCTCGACTATGAACTTATATTGGAAAAGATTTTGGAAACTACAAACTATATGAAAGCTTATATCAAATCTTGGAGAAAAATCAAAGATGATACTAGAGAACCAAAATTGACTTTTAACCATCGGTTCAAACTACAGACCAAAGAATAACGGAGGAAGAACAGAGCAACCCTAGAGACGTTCCCACTCAGCAAGATATACAACTGAACGAGACAGAGGAACTGCACTTACAATTCAATTATGAACTTACAGTAGAAACTACTGAGCAAATTAATCCTACACAATCCTACTTACGACCTATGGAGAACATTGATGATCAAAGAATACCATTAACTGAACTATTTGATCTCCCAAAAATAACAGAGCCTGACATTCAGGTACAAGTTATTGAAAATTGGGACAATGTGGACAATCAACTAGCAACTTTAATAAGGAATAAAATTGACTATACTATTCAAACAATATTGGAAGAAAGAGAAGAGAACTTTGATTATTTTGATGTATTGAGAAATAGCTTTACTCAAATGTTGAGGTTTGATGATGCTGAGGCTTTATCTTGGAAACCGGTTTGGCATAGAAAGAAAGCTAGAGTTAGGTTTAAAAATGTGGCTTAAAATTCCACTGAATGGGTTAAAAAGGTTGTTGACACTTGGATTGTTTTAATAACAAATGAAATAGGTGATTCTGTAAAAGGATTTTTTTTGTAACAATACTTGGTATTAGAGATGATAAGTAGTTGGAGGGGTAAATTTTACTTAATTGATTGATAGAATATATATTTAAAATAGACCGAAATGTAGTTCTTTGGACTGATATCTTTATTTTAACCAAAATAACTATTTTGTAATAGAGGGAGAAGAGGAGGTATTTATGATAAGAGAAATAATAGTATTAATAAATGATGTATTAGTTTAAGCAATAGACTATATTTAAAAAAATGTAAGGATGTTGCTTTTTGGGATAATATATTTATTTTAGATAGAACCATCATGATTATGTAGTTTGATTATGTTTTAGTGGGGGTTTTGTATGGGGTATTTTTAGAGCAGGCCTGTTATTTAATTTGATTTTAGACAGAAATTTGTGTATATTTATTGTGGTTTTTATTATTGCCTGTTCACCGCCCTGAGTCCCGTAAGGGAGATAGGGCGGTATATAAATTCAATAAATAAATAAATAAATGATAGGGAAAAGAGAAATGAGAGATGCCCGAAGTGTTAATATGTCTATATAAGTTTAATTGGAATATGGTAATTTCTAAAATAGTAAAGCTTAAAAACAGGACTTGGATTCTTATAATTGAAATGTGATTGATGACCGATTGGATTGATTGGTAAAATAATATGTGGGAAATAGAGAGGGAACTTTTAAGGAATTAATCTGTGTGATATATGTATGATTTTGTTCTTGGATAATGATAGCCCAATCACCATGTTGTTTCTTAAGCACTTTTATGTAAAAATGAAAAAAACCAATAAAATTTCTTTATACAAAAAAAAAAAGAAATGTTGGGCTCAATTGTGATCATGAGTCAAGGACTATCTGTATAAGGATGGGTTCATAGGCTGTCTATTCTGTTAATTACAAAAACAGAGGGACTTCCTCACACATGAAGTAGTATAGTACTTATTCCAATTTATAGAAAGTATATGGATAAATACTATAGGACAATTAAATATATTAATTATAACTATTGTAGATATTTCACTTAAAGTCTGAGATGAAACTGAAAATAATATTGGTATAGAGCAGGCTGATTCAGAAAGAAAACAGTGAAATTGCACATTGTCTACCATTTTAGTTTTCGATGAAGGCATTTTTGTTTTTACTTGCACTTAAATCTGCACTTGGTTTGTTCTACGCAATCAGATTTTAAGAAAATATCTCTCGGCTCAGTGGAGTAAGAATCTTTATTTAAAAGTTGTTAATGCAGACATTCCACTTCAAGCAAGGCATGCAATGGCCCACAAGTCAGGCTATTTAAGCCTATTTTAAGAACTGAAATCTAAATTTCCCTTAAGGTGAACTTAGCATCTGGTGACCACATGTACATTCCATGTCGCTTTCTTGGCAACAAGATAGAAGTGAGTTTTCATTTTTTTAAATTTCTCAGCCTGGTCTGCAGCCTTGGAATTTCCTTGTGGTTTCCATCCAAGGTCCAATTTAGCTTAGATTTTTCAAGATCAGCCAAAGTCAGCCAAGTAGTGTTACCTACTTATTCAATAACTGAAAGAAATTAGCAAAGCTATGTCTTTGAGCCAATGCCTTTCTACATATAGCTATGTGATTTGTCTACCTGTGGTAGAAAATGGAACTGAAGAGAATATTCCTGTCTCTTCTTTCTGGAGACTTACCACATCATGGTTCCTACGAAATCGGATGACTTCCTGATCATCTTCAAACCTGCTGCCCATAGCAGTCTGTGCAACAGCCTTCATTGCAAAACCTAACATATGTTGACTGAGGGGCACATGCTGAGACTCAGGGAAGGTTAGCCATTTTGTTAGCAATTCTTCTGACAACTTAAACAAAAGAAATACATGTGTTAATCTTTTTATCCCTACATATTCCCATGAAACTGAAAAGCAAAAATTAAATATTGTTACATGGCCTGTTGAATAGAAAAGCAGGTCTTTTAAACCATTTTGATGAAATCCATCATAACTCATAATACCCGATTAGCATTGAGCTACTGTTATAATGTCTCCCATCTAGTAGTGCTTTGGGAAAGGTGCAATGATTCTTAAGGCACACTGAGAGCACCTGTGCAATTACAGACCTCTAGTAATTTTACTGGACATAGATGGACATTTGATCTGTATGATCAAAAAAATGAGAGGCATGGAGATGCTTCCTCCAAGAAAAATAAGTGGAAATGCCAGTTGCAGAGCTTCTGAATCTCTGTGATACCACAACTTATAAAAAATGAACTTGGTGACCCACATGTCATGAATAAAACTGACTTGATTGGGACTAGGGCTGGACAAGTAATAGATTGTTATTGTTATTTATTTATTTAAATATATTATTACCACCCACTTTCATAGACTCTTGATGGTTTACAAATACAATACAAAACAATAAAAGCAGGTAAAAACATACAACCCTGCAGGCAAACTGGATTAAAACGATCAAACAGAAACAATTCAAATCAGGGGCCCCACAACTACATCAACCACAGGCCTGGGAACAAAGCCAAGTCTTTTAGGAAGCCCAGGAGAGGAGGCATTGTACATATCTCTGTGGGGATGCTGTTCCAGAACATGGAATCTATGACAGAGAAGACATGATTACTCAGTCCCATAAAACAACATTTAAGAGACATGGAGCATATCCACTTTATCAGAATGTACCAACCAGGCAGAAAAAGAGATGGATGATCCCTCAGACATCTAGAACTGGTGCCATAAACAATAATAATGCAGCTCAAGTAGCAGTGGTGACATAGGCATATTGGGATTCAGCAATTACTGTTCACATTGCTGCATTTTGTACCAGATGTAATTTCCAGATAATCTTCAAGAGTAGCCCTGTGTAGAGTGCATTGCAATAATTCAATTGTAATATGACCAGTGTATGAGTAACTGTCTAAACAGCCTTAAGTCAAGGAAAGAAGCAACTGGGAGATGAAGTGTGCAAAGGGCTTCCTGGTCACAGCTGCCATCTGCTCTTTGAGCAATAGCTACAAGTCCAGAAGGACCCCCCCCCAAATTGTGCACTAGTCTAGAATGAGGAAGTATTTTTCCCCATAAAGCCAATGATGAAAATGTCCCAGATCCCAAGGGGCTAAACAGCCATACCCACTCAGTTTTGTCAAGATTGAGTTGAAGTCTTTTCCATGCCCTCTACACAAAACAGTCTTTAGACACTGGGTCAGTTTATCAACAGTTTCACCTGCACAGCTCAACCCTGAGATATAAAGCTGAGTAACCTCAGTATAGTGATGACACTGAGCCCCAAACTGATGGATGACCTCACCCAAGTGTTTCATGTAGATATTAAACAGGGCAGGGGAGAGCATCAAGCCCTATGGTACCCCACCAATGAGAGGCTGTGGGTGCAACTTCTCTCTCCCTAGCAACACTGACTGAAACCAACCACTTAGGAAGAAGGTGAATCATTGCAACACAGTGCCTTCCACTCCTAACCCCCATAGCCAGTCCAGAAAGATACTGTGGTCAATAGTATCAGAAGCCACTAAGCAATCAATATACATCTCCATTTCTGCTCTGCCAAGGGTCATGACAAGAATAACCTGTATTGCTCTGTACCATGCTCCGATATGAAGCCCGACTGGAACAGGTCCAGATATACTATTTATTTTCAAGAATTCAATTTTAAGTGACAGACTGTGAAGGTTTTCAAAGTATTTGGCACAACGTCTTACTATCAGTTTGTGCAAGGAAAATGAGGCAATTTTTCAACAGCACTCTCTTTTTGCCTGTGCAATCCTGATCATGTTTAAAACATGTTTAATATTAATAGGAATAGTGCCTTGGGTGCAATCCCAAAACACCTCAAGCATCACTTGAATACCATTGACACTGAGAATATTACCACATCTGCAAAAGGCACCTTTACTTGGAACAGTTTACATCCTAATGACATCTTTAACGCCATCAAACATCTGCCTTTCCCAGGTCCTTGGGAAGGATTTGATAAGTGAATAAAAATGCTAAATCCAGTCTAAACATCTGCTTGATTGTCTGTTTGACCATAATACTAAATGTATATGCCGACTGACTCTCAGCATCTCTGGATGACTGACAACAAAGAAATTATTGCATAATCAATATGACATAAAAAAAAGATAAAAAGCCAATTGTTTTTAGTTTGGAAAATATAAGCTCTGCTAAAATCCACTATGTGACAGAGTGGGAGTGGGGGGGTGTAAAACAGTAGCAGGCCTGTTCATTCAAGTTTTAATTTAACTTGTCTTGAATACACAGGAAAAATATAAAATGGAAATGCACCAGACAAGATTTTTTTAATACTGGAGAGTCACTTCTGAGAAAGTTGACTGCTTACACAAGAGAAGCAACTTTCAAAAACCTTCAAACATCTGATTCTTCTCCATGCATTGCAGCCTTTTAAAGAGATTATTCTGAATCATTTATCTTCCTAGAAAGAAGACCCTCATACTCCTGAGCAAAATTCTGCCCTCAGAGGAAGCTATTCACCTTCTGGATGACAGGAAAATTGCTCGGCAGCAGCTTGGTGACACCATTTTCATACAGTTTTTTCCTCAAGCAGCTCTCAGCCATGTCTCCACCCAGGCCAGACTGATACTGCAACAAGGACTTTAACATCGTTTCAAAGGGGTCCGCTGAAAGAGAGAGTAAAAATGCAATCAATCTCTACAATGCTCTAAAGAAGTTCCCTCACTTTGGTTCCCATTGTTCTCACCCACTGCTTCTGCTGGAAAGGAGGAGGTTAGGAAAGACTGCTGTAAATCTGTCAAATTAGTTCAGAGGCTTGCAGTTAGTTGCATCGGATTGGTGCTAAGTATTGGTACCTAAATTACTGATTTTTCTTCAAGAGCAATAACACAAGAAGATGCAGAACTGTATTCCCATTTCTTGCCCAAATCTCCAATAACCATTTTTGTCAATAGTCACACATGCTTACAGCTTCTTCTAATCCTTCTGCAGAAGAAAGGAAGAAATACAATTTGTGTCTTCAGAGTAAGAAAGTGATCTCATCAGGCACTCAAGAAAGCCTCAAGCAATGTAGAACCAGCTTCTCCTGTAAGAATCAGCAAGAACTTGGTAAGACCCGCAGATGTTCATTTTTATTTTAATAACCCTATCCCTCGCTTCAATGACATAATGTAACTTTTACCAGATCACTAAGGGAGTCCTCCTTAAAGTATGTTTTTCATCCATATTGAACAAAGCAGGAGCCCAACCAGTGCTTCATGCCAACTGGACCAGCTCCAGGTTATAGTGATTATGCAGCTCACTTTGCCTGCTGACAATATATCCTTTGCCCAGTACTATCAGATGCTCAGAGATTCTCAACCATCTGTTGTCCAAGGCAATTTGCAAAAATGCTACTAGTTTATAATGCCGGTGACAATATGTCTCTCATGAGAAGCAGTGGGTAGACAAGTTTAACCACAGGCAAACCTCTCTTCTGAGGATCACAGAGGTCGCAAAGCAGCAGTGGATGTATCAGAAGGCCACACATGCAGGCCTTAAGTCTCAAGCCTATATCGTCTCTTACTAAAAGAAAAGATTACATTACAAACCTAGGTGGAAATATCTGTAATGGAATGTGTAGATGCCCATGGGGGAATGAAGGAATGAATGAAAGAGATGCTGCCTAGGAAACAATCAGACAAGAGAGGGAAGACCTTGCAGGCAGTCGCTTAACGGTCAGAAGAAGAAACTTTGGAAGGATTGCCTTAATTGATCAGACAGCTAAAAGTGGCAGCAAGAAGTTTGTGTAGCCTTGCAATAACGTAGATTCAGCTCACCTAGTTGTGTTTCCCATCTGGTTTACCCAGAAGGACTGACAATACTTCAGCCACGAGGCTAACCCTGGGTGTCTCATAGACACTGGAGGAGACTCACAGCTTGGAACACTGCTTCAACAATGGTTGCATACAAGCTATTTCAAAATGCATGTGCAATCACACTGTATATATTTGGCAGAAATGCTTGAGTTTCCTACTGCATTAATTACAGGGTGTGTGATGCTAATCCAAATGAATCTAAAGACATTCCTATTTTAACAGAGAACAAATTATGTTACACTAAATTACAACAAAGTATTCCTGCAGCCAGAACTTGAGGAATCCAAAAGGGGTCACTATGTGACCCAGCTCTGCCTTATCAAATATTCTGGTCTACCATCCACCATTATTACTCAACATAATCTCTATTCAACAGAATACCTTGCAATCATAATCTTGCCATTTTTCCCCCTCTGAATATCTTTGGAAGAGAGGGACACAAGGCCATATGACAGAGCTCCTGATGAGCAGGATTGACAAAAACAGTCTACTGAAGCACAAGTGTAAGTAAGGCATAGTAGTCAAAGTACTAAACTAGAAGATGAACTCAAGGAAGACTTGGGTTCAAGTCCACCCTCAACCATTGGAGCTTACTGGATGATTTTGGGCCAATTGCTCTCTCACACAGGGTTAATATGGCGATAAAATGAGAAGAGATTTTCATGTAAGCTGAGCTCCATTAGGAAAGGCAGGGTATACCGTAAGTCCAGCAAATTAATAAAATAGATGCATTCCATTAGAAAAATACTTTGTCCCTGCTTCCATAACATGAGCTAGATACCCAATTTATTCAATAAGTAACAGCAGCGGTAGACACCTGTGCTGGATTCCATATGATTTACATCTTAATATAAATATGTAGAACTGCACTATAGAGCTATTTTATTCTCCCTTCTTGGCTGTTGTGTAAATGCTCAAGTACCCTTTAAATGTGTGACTCAAAGAAAAAAAAGGGGGGGGGAAGCCTCTATCCTCTAGGTGCTGTTGACTTCCACCCACTCCCAAGCCAAGCATAACAAAAGCAGCATGATGCAAAATTAAAGTGTGCATTAAACAAGGGAGCTTGGCAAGCGTTGGTAATAGAAGGCAAATATGTCATGAGCAATATGAACCCACAAAAAATCACACAAAATCCAGGAAAAATATCCTGCAGATCACATGCTGCAATCTGTAGAGGCTGCAATCAGTTCTAAACTACTCAAACAACTTGTGCTTCTATTATTTCTACTGCTTAAGAGACTTTCATCTTTGTCCAATTCTTTTCTTTGCTTGAAGTGCAATTTACAAGTAGCAGAAATACAATTGAGGACTTTCATCTGCGTCAGTAGAGAGAGGCCAATGAAAAGCCACAAGAGCACAGTAGCAAACCAGCTATCAACAAAAGTACTTTAAAAAACATGCAGCGAGGGGAAAAAAGTATTTGATCACCTGCTGATTTTGTACGTTTGCCCACTGACAAAGAAATGATCAGTCTATAATTTTAATGGTAGGTTTATGTTAACAGTGAGAGATGGAATAACAAAAAACATTCCAGAAAAACTCATTTCAAAAAAGTTATAAATTGATTTGCATTTTAATGAGACTAAGGCAAAAACTGGTTTCCCTCCTGCAGCTCTTGTGGACTGGGGGGGGGGGAGAGAATTTGTTTCTCTTTCAAATTCAATTATCCTCCAATCAATGTAGTTTTTAGAAAGAAACAAAACAGCATGATGTTTTGAGAGATGAGATAACCACATGCACACATACTTGTACAAGAGAGGAAAACCTTATGATAGGTACCCTTTTTCAAGATAATTATCTGAAAACTTCCTTCTTACTCAAAATTCTACTACAGAGCCATTAGCCTCCGGCATCCATACTGCTGCAAGCTTCCATGCTGATGGAAACTGAGAACACAAAAGAGAGAGAGAGAGAGAGAGAGAGAGCAAATAATACATCTCTTTTCAATTTTGCCTTTCTATCTCATTTCTTCATGTTTTCCCAGACTGTAAGCTCCTTCGGGACAGCTACCTGTATCTTTTGCTTCTTGAACTCTGCAAAACTGCTTACCAGCCAACATTTTCTGGCCAAAGGATATGTCAACTTTAATGTTCTGTTGTTCCCAAGTTATAGAAAAATGGAAACAAATTCTGTGATGCGTTCTTCACAATCCATCGAAGAGGTGAGAGAAGAAATGCAACAAAAAGTTTTTCAAGCATGAGAGAGGGGAGGAGAGAAGTTCCAGTTTCAGAGGGGATCTGCACAGCATCTCTCCAAACAAATCTACTAGTTGGGTGGACAGTAAAAAGGAAACACTCACACATTCTCAATGCTTGTCTGAAAAATAAATGGCTTCCTAACTCACTGCTCACATAATGCTTCACCTAAGTCTTTAATACCTGTACTCTACGAAATGTTTTTAAGAACTGCTAATTAAAAATATGTGCAACAGCTTTAAGAAACAGGCTTGCCCAAGAAAATGTCTAAGAACTGAAAGAACAGACTTGTTAAATGTCACACTCCTTTGTTAAAGGCAAGAATCTGTTGAAAAGCATCATGAGAAGTTTAACTGCTATGTGTTTAGATTAACACCTCTGCTAAAAAACTATAGGGGCTGCTAGCTCCCAAACCTTCATATCCTGCCAAGTGAGTGAAGGGACAGCTGGGAGAGCTTTAATTCATAAGAGTCACCAGGAATTTACTCCATCCAACTCACCTGCCAGGATTGCTGTTGTGGAGAAAATAGGATGCAGAAGTAAGATCTTAGGCAAGGCAAGTACATTACTTTGTCCCCAAATAGTCTTTCCCAGTGTTAAACTATCAGCACAGCCATAAAACACCAAAAAGCCCTAAAAAATATTGACAGAGCTAAGAGAAGATACTAAGAAGCGAGCAAAGGCTCTGGGAAGCAAGGCATAAGATAAACTCATAGAAGTAACTCGTTACTTACGATACGATAATTGCGGAACGACTAAAAATAATATTAAGCCAAATAATACATTCGGATCAAAATGGTTTTTTTTAACCTACCAGACAAATTAGGAATAACACGAAAATGGTGTTAAATGTCCTGGAATATTATGAAGCACACCCCAAGAAACAGGTTGCATTGGTATTTTTAGATGCTCAGAAGGATTTCGACATCCTTAATTGGCAGTTTATGTTCCAATAGATAGAGGATATGAAATTTGGAGAGAAATTTGAACAAATGATAAAGTCAATATACAAAATACAAAAGGCCAGAGTAATAATAAATGGGGAGAATACAGAGAAGATAGAAATCAATAAAGGAGTAAGACAGGGATGTCCAATGTCACCTCTACTTTTTATTCTAACGTTAGAAGTGCTATTAACTCAAATTAGAAACAACAAAGAGATAAAAGGATTAAAGGTTAAAACAGAGGAATACAAGACACAGGCATTTGCAGACGATTTAGTGTTCTTTATAGAGGAACCATTAGAAAGAGGTAATATGCTAATGAATGTAATAGAAAAATATGGAATGGTGGTAGGACTAAAAATAAATAAAGAAAAGACTAAAATATTAGTAAAAAACTTAACTGAAAAACAAAAAAGGAGACTAGAAGAAAACTTGGGGTTGCAAATTATAAAAAAGATTAAATATTTAGGAATTTGGCTCACCATAAGATGTTCTTCAATAAAAGAAGATACTTTAAAAAAATGGTATTACAAATGAAAAAAGATTTGGGGGAAATTACAAATATCATTGTTAGGAAGGATTTCGGTGATCAAAATGAATATACTACCAAAATTGTTATATCTATTTCAAACAGCTCCACTAAAACTGGGGGAATTTTTTTTTGACGAATTAAACAAAATGATTAATAAATTTATATGGTTAGGTAAAAAAGCACGAATAAATATTAAAGTGTTACAGGACAGTAGAAGTAGAGGTGGCCTTGGGCTTCCAAAGTGGGAAACCTATTACCAAGCAGCGGGGTTGCTTTGGATCAGCAATTGGATAAACTTAGAAAACAAAAGGGTTTTAACAATTGAAGGTCATGACTTACAGGCTGGATGGCATGCGTTTTTATGGGGAAAAGATAAGAAATCCCACACATATTTCTACCGACACCAGATAAGGGATGCATTAATTTGGACATGGGAAAAAGTTAAAAAAAATACTATACGAAAATTCCAATTTGGATCTCACCAATGGAGGCAATGATTCACCCAAATATACTGGACAAAACAAAGATGATAAGGTATAAGGAACTATTAGACAATCAAGGGAAGCTTAGATCAAGGGAAGAATTAAAAGAATAGGGGATAATTATTGATTGGTGGCCATATATACAGATACAATCAAAATACAGTAAAGACATGGAAGAGTATGGTATAAGTAAGACATTACAGCAATTGGACAAAATATTGACAAACAAGGGAGGAAAATTTCTAACAAAAACCTATAAATACTTATTAGAAATTGAATTGAAAGAAGAAATAGTAAAGGGTCCAATGATAGCGTGGGCACGAAATATAGGTAGGAATATAAAATTGGATGAATGGGAAAGAATATGGAACAGAAATTACAAACTAACATTGTCAACAGCATACAAAGAAAACCAAAACAAAATGTTCTACAGATGGCATTTAGCACTGGCAAGATTGGCCAAGATATACAAAAATATGAATCTGGATTGTTGGAAATGTAAAAATAAAGAAGGAACATTTTACCATATGTGGTGGCAATGCCCCAAAGCAAAGATCTATTTGGAGCAAATAAGGAGATGGATACAGGAAATAACAAAATAACAAATTGAACTTAAACCCGAAATATTTCTATTAGGCATAATCAATCCAAAGATGGAAAAACAATTTCAATACATCATTATACATATAATAACTGCTGCACGCATTGCCTATGCGCAATGCTGAAAAAGGGAAAACATATCAACAAGTGCAATGATAATACACAAGATATTAGAATGTGCTGAGATGAATAAACTTACTTTAGAAATAAAAGACAAAGAAGTTACAGAATTTTATGAGATATGGGACATGTATTATAACTGGTTAGAATTGAGGAATAAAAAAGTATGAGAAGTAATGTAAATAAATGTAAGAGATATAGGACATAGTATTGTTAAGAAAAAAGAAAAAATGTACTTTGTATTTTTGTTATGTGTAAAGACAAAAAGAAAAAATTAAAAAAGAAAATTAAAAAAGAAAATAAAATATCTATGAAATGCTGCCTTTGTGTTCTCAAA